CCCCCCAGCCTGGCATTCATGCAGCAGCTGTCACATCGAGTGGGTGTAGCACGGCTCAGCAGGGCGCCGCACGCTGTCCTGGAGCTGGGGAGACTCCAGCAGTCACCCAGACGGCAGCGCTCAGCCCAAGCATTCCCAGATTCCAGACAGTGCACGGACCCCTGCAGCATCCTACCAAACCACACTGCACCCGCATGATGTGAAAGCTGACACATAGGGACAACTGATCCCCGCTGCACCGCACTGTGTAGGAGGGCTCTGCCATGAGCCCCCAGAGGTCCTGATCACCATTGCTGCAGCCAGTTAATGGTTTGTTTCGGTTTTTTTGTTTTGTTTTGGGTTTTTTGGGGGGGGGGTTTGGGCCCCCCCGCAGGATGATGTGATATGGGTTTTTTTTAAGTGCCAGGATGCTGGGGCCAGGTGGAGCAGCCATGAGGAGGCTGAGGGAGCGGGTAGGAGACAGGGCCCTGCTCACTGCTGTCACACCCCCACTGCCGACACTGCCACCACCACCTGTTCCATTCAGAGGAGATTTGGCCCGATTCAGTGGCTGAATCTCTGAATCCGAATTGGCCGAATTGAGTCGGGACAGTGATTCAAATCACTGAATTGGCCGAATCCAAAGCTGAATCGAATACTTGCTGCTTCACACAGGCTTAGTGTAAACGCTGCCACTGCTTGCCCTGCTGCCACAGAACTACATCTCCAAAAAAGATCTCAAATTGGGAATTTGACAGCAAGGTGAGTGACAACAGCACTGACCTGCTTGGTGCTTGCCCTGCTAACAGCAGCTCAGAAACCTACCAGGGTTAACACTTGCTATTTACCCCACCGACCAAATTTCTGGGCCCATACGCCAGATGCAGAGGTGGGTCTTCTGAACCACGAGAAGCCCTGCAGACTAGATAACTCACCTTTGTGGGACACAGCTGTATGTTTGACACCCCTACTATAAGGCCTTGCAAGCAGAGAGCCACAGAACTAAGGTATTCCAAATCACCAGTCACTTTTGAATATCTTGGCCTTAGCACTGCTTGTGCTGAAACATCCCCTCAGAGGAAGTGCCTATGGACAGCCAGGAGTGAACAAGATTAAGCCAAGTTACCTGAAGTCAGACTGGAAATGGAGGCCGTAGCTGCTGCTGGCTTTCGTTTCCTCTTGATATCCCTTGAGCAAGGAGGTCCCAGATGTATGTTTGTTTGTCTACAGAGGGAAGAAATTTGTTTAAAATCTATCCTAATACAAGATTCCAGAAAAAAAGACACTGACCATAAAACCAACAACCCCCCTCCACCCTTAAAAGATTAAGATTTCATAATCTTCCAAAAACAATGCAAGTGCAGGGCTTCTTTAGGATGCACTTATATTATCAAATTCCATGCCTATTTTCACCACAGATATAGCTGAACCAGTATTCACATGAATTTAAATTCAAGCTTGCATATATTCAGCCTCTTAAACTGGTGAAAACACCAAATCCTGGTTTCTATTAACTCATCGTACAGCTTTACTGACCTAGCAACTATGCCAAATCCATAGCTCAAGGATACAAACTTGCCTATTTACATCAACTGTTGGCCCGGAATCCTAATGATGATTTCCAGTGGCACTAATTTAACTGTTATGGCTTGGATAAAGTGCTGGTATCTAATTCCACCTACTTACTTGGATATCTGCTTATAGGAAGAACCAAAGAAGCTGAATTCAGCAGTAGACACCTCCCCAGAAATGAGACACAATGAATAAAAAATGCACAATTTAGCAATAAAAGAGGCTTCAAGTCCCAAATACTTTCTTTATGACCCTGGGCAAGTCACTTAGGGTGAGATTCACAAAGGAACTCAGGTACTTAAGTCCAAGAGAGGGATTCAAAGAATCTCCCCAACCCACACAGGCACCTGATTTCTCTTAAGTTTCCTTTAGGCACATAAATTTCAGCTACTGCATATGTCCAGAGACACCACTATCTTGTCTGAAAAGAGTGTCCAAGCACTTAAAGTTAGCTTAAATCCACCCTCGGGGATGTAGGTTGTAGCCATGTTGGTCTAAGGACACAGGCAGACAAGGTGCTTTGGATATCTTTTATTACACCAACTCAGCTAGTTGGAAAAATTCTTCTTAGCAAGCTTTTAGGCACAAACACACTTCATCAGGCTGAGGAAGCGTCTTCAGGTGGTCTGTGACATTCTACACACATGCCCATGTGCTGGTCCTCTGAGGGCCTACTCCAGGGCCATTTTCATTCAAAAACATGGGGAGGAAAGGGGAGGAGGTGTACCCACCCCCTGCATATTAGCTTAGTGGTTAAAGCAAGGCTGGCTAACCCACAAGAGGTATAGGTGGCACAACCAGCTGCTGTGTGGCACAAGAGCCCTGGATGCACCAGAACGGAGGCAAGGGGACTTGAGTCTCCAGCCCACAGAAAGGAGCAGGAGCAGGACTGAGGGAAGGCAGGAAGGAGAGGAGTGGGGATACCTGCAAGAGGTGGTGCCAGATGTCACAGCTAAAAGCCAAGTTAACCCTTCTCTGGCCCTGTAGCTGCCCCTGAATTTCAGACTTCAGATCCTCTCTCACTGTATAAAATTCTGGAGGCTGTGGGGCCAAGGAAGGGTTAACCTGGCTTTTGGCAGCAATCTCTCTTTTACAACAGTTTCCTGACCCATCTCCACTCTGTTTGACTGGAGGCTTGAGCCCTCCCTGCCTCCAGGCTAGCACACCAGACTTTTATCAGGTATGTCTCTCAGAGGCAGGGATCAGAACAGCACTCAAAGAGAGGGCAGGGCTTAAATTATGACATACCTGCCTAAAAGGTCAGCCGCCACTAGGTTAAACCATGTGCCCCTTAAATGAGAAGTCTGGACTTGAACTCCCACATCTCAAGAAAGAGCCTAATCTACCAGGTTTGATGCTAGGCTGGACACATGGCACATGTACTCTTCATGCACCGTATTGAAGTTGGGCCACTGGGCTAGAAGGAAGGCAAGAGTCAGTTGTTCAGAGAGAAAAGGGGCAAAGAAAGGACAAGAGCAG